TGATGGTTTTTAATGGGAACCAGAGGTATGGTTACAATTACATAGTCCGACACAAAAAACCCGTGGGTGATCAGGAGTTGAAAGGTTACAAAATAATGAGGGTAGCACTGGGTACAAGAAGAAACGCTGTTGCAGAACCTCAGGAGCCAAGCTAATACGGCCTCTCCCTGCGATCTTGTCTGTGCTCACCCCTGGAGCCCATCTTGCCAGGGCCAAAGCCACCTCTGTCCCCACCACCCCAGCCCCCTCGGAAGCCCCCATGGTCCCCACCTCAGCCTCAGTAGCCGCCCCAATCATAGCCTCCTCTGCCACCACGACAATCATCTCCATAGTTACCCCCCAAATGAGAGCCTCCTGGTCCCCCTCCTGGGCCATCTGGTTTAGCGGCCTTACATTGGTTACATTCATTCCTCCAAGAGAAGTTCATGTTCTTACATATAGGATTAGGACACTTCCAGTCACCAGCTCGCTGCTGGCCGCCGCCACCACCTCCTCCACTACGGAATCCTCCCCGGCCACCATCACCGCCGCCACCACCTCCATAGCCTCCACAGCCCATGGGTCCTCCTCACCCTCGCCTCCACAACCATTGCCACCGCCCTGATTGAAGTCTGCTCACCGAGTAGCAAATGAGACCTTAATGGGATTCCCAGAGAATTCTTTATCATCAAACCAATCACTAGCTGCTTTAGCAGAAGGTGGGTCATCAAATGACACTGTTGCCTCTCCCTTCAGCTTGCCTGTTTCCCTGTCTGTGTACAGATTAATCACGGGCTGTCCTGTTTTCTTATTTGTCTTAATAATACCAATCTTCTTGAAGTAATCAGCCACAGACTCAATTGTAACATTTTTGTCCAAGCCTTGCACAAAGATGGTGTTGTTGTCTGAATTATCCTGTTCAGAGTCATGATATGATCCCTGGTCCCGAGGGCCACCAAATTTATTGGAGCCACCACGGTCACTTCTGCCCATGCCACCTCTGCCTCCACGGCCACCTCCACGACCTCTGGGTTCATAGCCACCGCTGCTGCGGTTGTAACCACCGCCACCGCCCCGGCTGCAGCCCCCATGGTCCTGCTGGCCTCCCCCGTAGCCACCGCCACCACCACTCTGGTCCTGATTGCCATAACTGCCGCCGCCACCGCTCATGGAGGACTGATCTTGGCCATAGTTACCTCCACTGCTACTGTTGTACTGGTTCTGCTGTCCATAGCCTTGAGGGGGATTATAGGAGCTTTGCTGCTGTCCACTCTAGCCAGACTGCTGGCCATAGCCCCACTCTGGGGCTGCCCGTAGCCGCTGCTCTGAGAACCACTACCCTAACTTCCCGAGGTGCTGCCATGGGCTGGCTGCTGGCCATAGCCAGGTTAAGAGGACTGTTGCCCATAAGATGACTGAGAACTCTGGTTACCACCATAGCCACCAGTTGAGCCATATCCCTGGGGAGCTGACTGAGTGCCATAGCCTGTGTTCTGGGTCTGTCCGTAAGAAGAACCATAACTGCTCTGGCCATAGCCTGAAGTGTCTGCTGACTGGCCGTAACCACTGTAACTCTGCTGTCCATAGGGCTGACTGCTCTGCTGGGAATAGCCCTGCCCAGGCTGGGTGGGGTAGGCCCCACAGCTTTGGGTTGCTTGTTGGGTATAGTCGTTTGAGGCCATGTCCGCGAACGCACGCACAGGCCGACAAGCAACAAGATTCCAACACCACAGAGCACCGACACCTCGGGGACTCTGTATATTCCATTAACATTTTATCTGAAATGCTCACTGCCTACCCAGGGGCCCTCAGCTCCCACTGTTCCCCCTGGCATGAAGGGCTTCCTTCTTCCTGAACCTGCATGGGGGTGGGGTGGGAAGGGTGCCCCACACAGGGGCACCCACACACACACACAAGCAGCCTTCAACCAAGGAGGATAGGGATTTGTGGAAAAATACCCCAGCTTCCCAGCTCTTTGGCCCTTACAGCTCTGAGGAGTGTGTTCTCTGCTGCGCCCCCAGAGGTCCCCAGTGGGACTGCGCCCCAGTTGTCCAGAGAGGTAACTGGCTTTAGTATGGCAGCCTTCCTTTACTGGTCTCCTTCCCTTCCCTGTCTAACTTTCCCACCCTCTACTTATGCCTCCTTGGGGTGCCTCCCAAATAAATTACTTGCCCTCAAATTCTTGCCTCAGCATCTCCTTCTGGAGGAGCCCAACCTAAGACAGCAGTTTGCCCTATTAAAATGAATTCCCTGTTTGCAATTATTGGTCATCTCTCTCCCTGGGCTGAGTCAGGTCCACCACCATGTCTTCAAAGCCCATATGGTGCCTGGCATGTAGTAGATGCTCAATAATGACCCCAAGTCTCATGGCCGTGAGGTGGCCAGGATGGCAGTGGTCACTCTAGGCTCACCACCATCCTCCGAACACACTGTCGGGAGGGGAGTTCACTCCTTCTGAGCTATAAATGGCAACTTCTGCCCCCGTCATGCCCCACAGCCTGGACAGCTGGGACAAGGTCCCCAGGAGCCCTGGATGACCCTTCCAGCCCTAGTCAGCGCTCCTCAGGTGTCCCTGGGGCAGATACACAGAGAGGGCACCAGTCCCAAGGCTGCAGGGCAGGGGGCACAGCTGGACTCTAACGCCATTCCTAGCCTCCTTCGCCCCTCCCCAGCATCAGATTCCACCTCCGGGAGCTCTCTGAGCAAGAGGACATTCCAGTGACAAGGGTCTACCTTACAAGGCCACCGAGCTAGCCGGCAGCTCCTGGGGGAGGGATCCCTTTCCCGTGCCGGTGGTGTCAGGTCTGGAATTAACCACACCACCTGTGGTAAGGCTGGTCCCAGGGACTCCCAGGAGGCGGTGGGGGGGAGGGCAGGGGGTGCAGGGAGATGACCTCTGATGACTCAGCCTGAGACAGAGGATGGGAGAAAGACATGGCAGGGTGTCTTAGGACCTCTCTCCAGCTCTGTCTAGAGGCAGCTGGGTCAGGTCCCAGTTCTGCCACTCACAACCTGGGTGACCCCGGGTGGGTGACTCTGGGCCTCTGCTTCCTTCTCTATAAATGGGAACAAATACAGTCTTCTACCTCTTAGGGTTCAGGGAGGCTGAAGTGAGATGCTTTGAGTGGAGTGCTCATCATGGCACCAGGCACAGCACTTCATTATCTATCCCCAGTCTTTCAATCATCACTGACATTCTTCGAGATGCATGATGGTCCGCTTGTGTCCTAAGAGGAAACCAGGTCTTCGCAGCCAGGACCTGGGGAGGGGTGGGGTAAGAGAGAGAAAGATGGAGACAGAGTTGGGGAGGGATCTGGGCCAAGTCCCCTTGATTCCTGAACATAGGGAGAAGCCAATATCCTTGGAGCATGAAAAGGTTCCAGAATGTTCTGTTGCTACTCTTTGGGCTCCCATGCTGATGTGGGAGGGACAGGACTTCCCAACGTGACAAAGCAAAGGAAGCTGGCTTAAGGGGGTCAGAGGGAAGCAGGGACTCTATATCTGGGCCTGACCCCCCTGCTCCCCAGCGGTGCTGGCCACTGCCCAGACTCCTTCTGTGGTCTTGGGCAAGAAACACAGAAGCTTCACTCCTTCTACTTCATCCCACATAGGAACTTTGGTGCTGGGGCTGGGGGGCCAGGGTTCTGTCTAGGAATCCAGGAGGGCTTTCTGGAGGAGGAGCCATCTGATCTGGACTCTAAAGGATGAACAGAGTTTCCCAGTTGGAGAAGTGTGTGGGGGGGTGAGGGGTGGTGTGAGAATGTGTGTGAGAGAGCGTGTGGATGTATACGGGTAATGGTTCACTTTAACAAGGGTTCTCTGATCTTCTGGAGGCCAGGTACTGAGGGGCCACAGATAAGACTGAGGCACAGGCCTGCCCCAAAGCAGCTCATAGTCCACAACTGATGGCCAAATAACAGTAATAGTAAAAGGTACCATGTTCTGAGCATGTGCTGCTGGGGCTCAGCACGTGAAAGGCTCTCCGTGTTCATCACACAAAAGAATGAGTTTCTGAAGGCAGATTGCTGGAGGACAGAGGGGAAGCGTAACAGGGAGGCTGGGGGTACCCGACCTGGAAAGGCCTGGAGGTGGGGAGACCACAGCCCTGCCTGGGAAACACTGCTGCGGAGAGTTGGGCAGTGAGCAACCGGCAGGAGTCTGAATGACAAGATGAGCTAAGGCCACCTCCTAATCCAGTGGTGCTGGGGAACCACAGACGGATGCTGAGTGGGGAAGAGAGGGTGTGCCATCTCAGGAGGGCATCAGGGCCTGGTCTGGGCCTGCCTTGGGCTCCAAGAATTTCCAAGAGATGATCCAGGTCAATCTCACCCTGGTAATGCCGGCCCACAGGGGCAGGGGAGATGACAGAGAGACAAACATAGGAGGAGACAGAGAGAAAGAAGGACAGGGGGAGCCTGAAGGGATGGAGAGAGAGAGAGACAAAGAAATACAGAGAGAGTCCAAGAGAACAAGACCAAAAGAGACGGGGAGACAGGGAAATGAACACACCAACTGAGAGGTGGAAAGACACAGAGAGACAGAGAGATGGAGAGAGACACAGACAGAGAGAGACACAGAGACACTCATCAGAAAGGAGACAGAGGGAGAAGATGATGGGTCAAAGATTTGCCAGAAAGAGGGGAGTAACCCAGGGAGCCCCTGGGGAAGAGCAGGAGATGGGATGGAGTCCTGACTCCCAGTACCTGGAGGCAGGACCAGAGGGGAGGAGAAGGGAGGACAGGCGCCTTCCCACCCCACCTCGCCCCTACTCTGCACCCACACGCAAGCCCTCTCTGCTCCCCAGCACAGACAGGGAAATTGAGGCTGGCCGATGGGCCACCAGGGTCCTCCTGAGCCAGCGCTGTGCCTGCACACCCACAAGGGACCCGTGTCACCAGGTTAAAAATGGAAACGGGTCGGGCTTTTTCTTTCTTTTTTTTTTTTTTTTCCCTTTGAGAAACTCCTAGGCCCAAATAAGGCGAGGGCTGTGGGGCGGCCGGTGAGCTGGCCAAGTCCTCCTGAGCAAGCGAGTGGCGGCTGGCCCGGCGGCCTGGGCTTGGGCCTCCTCCAGGTCTCACCCGGCAGCGGGGCGGTGCGCCCTGGAGCCTATAAGGGCCTCGCCCCCGCCTGGCTGCTCACTCGGCCCCGGCCCGCAGCACAGCCCCCTCCGCAGAGTCCTCTGTGCCCGTGCCCCACCGCCCAGCCATGGAGGCCATCAAGAAGAAGATGCAGATGCTGAAGCTGGACAAGGAGAACGCCATCGACCGGGCGGAGCAGGCCGAGTCGGATAAGAAAGCCGCTGAGGAGAAGTGCAAGCGGGTGAGGTGCCGTCCGCCGGGCCGGGGCCGGCTGCCCAGTGCCCTCCGTGGGGTGCTCCTGGCCGGGAGGCCAGGCTCTGGGACCCAAGGCGGGAGTTTCAGCAACCTCAGTGCCTAGAGTCAGGGCAAGGGACAGGGGGTGATGGCTGAGTGAGGGGACCATTGTCTTCCCAGGGTCCCTGAGCTGGGAGAGAGAGGTGACTATACACCAGCAGGGCCAGGGTGAGCAAAGAGAGAGAGAGAGAGAGCGCGCGAGAGAGCGAGCATGCGTGCTTGGGCAAGGGAGGGGTGTTTGTGTGTGCACTGGATGTGTGTGCAAGCTGGAGTGTGTATGGGGTGTTGGGATGAGGGGATGAGCGTGGGGGTGTGTGCTAGATGGGGTGGTTGGTTGATACCGTGCGTGAGAGTGTGTTTGTGTGTTTGGGCATTTCTGTGTGCACACAGGTGGGGGGGTGTGTTTTGGCTGCAGAGAGTGTGGAAGGTAAAAGTGTCTGCGACAATGCGTATGTGCAGACCGAGGCACGAGCGTGCCTCGTGTTGGCTAGTCCAGTGGACTAGTTGGAAAGTGGGAATGAAAAGAGTGTGCATGTGTCCGTGAGTCTGCGAGGGTGTTGGTGGTGGTGTCACCGTGGGCTGTGTGTAGCGGGGGGAGGCTGTGTGCGTGTGTGCTCCTGCCAAAGCTGACATGACGGCAATGGAATGTTTGTGTGTCAGGGTGAGCGTGTGTGTGTCGAGGTGACTGCTTGTGTTGGCGTGTGTGTGCTCGTTGGGGTGATTGTTCCTGTCAGAGTGTGTGTGTGTGTGCGCATTAGTGTCCAGGTGAGGGTGGCGGCGCCCAGCTACGTGTGCACACGCGCGTGTGTAGTGGTGAGGGTGGCAGTGCCGAGCTGTGCGTGAGGGTCACCCTGTCCCCATGTCAGGACACACCCAGGTGGGACTGTGCAGGAAGGGTGGCTGAGTGTGGGTGTGTGCTGGGGCAGCTGGGGCAGAGTCAGGCCTGGGGCAGTTGGAGATTTGGGGGTGAACCTGAGGATCTCAGTGCCTCTCTGCGTATCTCAGGTTCCCCCGCCATCCCTGCTGGGAGCCCAGAGGGGAGAGGTGGGGGTGCCAGTGGCAGGCAGAGGCCTTGGACCTAGAGCTCTGGAGACAAGCTTCGCAGAAGGCTCTGGCAATAGGGTACAGCGGGGGGCTAATGCAGCTGGTGGGCAGACGCCTGGGCTGGGCAGTCCCAAGGCCATGCTTTGGAGCAGAGCAGAAGTCACCTGTCTGGGTCTGGGTGGCCAGATCAGCCAGTGGGAGGAGGGAAGGGGGTGCTGCTCTCTCTGTAGCACCCTGCCCCCCACAGGACTCATCCGCACCCCCTGGGGTTAACCACCCAGCCCTCAGGAGCATCAGGGTCTCAGATAAGCCCCGGGAGCCACCCAGGACAGCGACACTCCGCACCGAGCCCTGCTCAGCCCATACACCAGGCCAGCTTGGAAGGTAAAAAGGACAGGCTCTGAGCTTGCACTGGCTCTGTCCACAGCTGGGTCACTGAGCACCGTGGAACAAAGGCCTGTGCCTCAGTGGCCCCATGTTTGAGATAGGAAAGTGACAGTGGTCACTTTTCTCATGGCCATGAAAGGATTAGATGTGACTGCAGGTGGAGCCCTTGTCCTGGTGCCTGGCATGGAGTAAGCACTCAATAAATGCAGGATTATTTCCTGCCCTGCCCTACGCCCTACTTCCTCTGTGGGCCTCCCCATCCCCCAGTATCCCGGGGCTTCCCTAAGAACCTGTGACACATTCTCAGAGGCCAGCCCCACCCCAGCACTCCCTGCCACACTCCCTTCCTCCTTCCTCCCTGGCAAACACAGACACCCATCTTGTGCTGGCCCTGAGCTGCCCACTTCCATCCATTATTTAGCCCTTGCCATGAGAGGCTCGGCCAGGGATTCAGAGCAAAGCAAGGTTATGGCTCTAATTTTCACTAAGGTGTGAGTGACTGATACAGCATACTCTCCTAAGGCAGACACACATTCAAAAGGGAAGGCTTCTCAAAGCCTTCAGCCATCGGTATGGCCAAAAAGGCAGGGACAGGTTTTCTGGCCTCCAGCTGGATTTTCATTCTGTTCTTGGTTTTCCATGAAGCCACCCACTGCGGTGGACTTGTGCTTGAATCCAGGCTGGATCTTCTTCTTTGACTCAGGACACATTGCTGCCCCTCTCTGAACGCTTAGTGTTCTTATCTGTGACATGGGGGCACGGGCCCCCCTCCCAATGGCCAGGTGTGGAAACCAAGATTCCAGAGGCCCAAAGCAGAGGCCACATTCTCAAAGGGACAATGGCCTGTCCCGCCTAGGAACGGAGGCAGGAGGCAATGAGGGACTTGACTTACCTGGAGTGCCTTACACTTCATGAGGCCAGAGTGTGGGTCCCAGGGCCAGCCTGCCCCTTGGGGACCCTGCAGCAAAGTCTCAATTCTAGGCCGTTTGTCCAGTGTGGGAACGGGACCGGGAAGCCCAGCCCTCCCAGCTTCCTGCCCGCTCCCCTCCCAGGGCAGTGACATCCGCCACAACTGGCCTTTGACCCCACATCCTGCCTCAGCCCAGTCCTAAGGTCCCATTTACAGGGACTACAGTGTGCAGTCCATGACCTTCCCAGCCGTTTTACAGCAGGGAAACTGAGGCCCAGAGAAGGAAGTGATTTGTCAGAGACCATACAGAGCCAGGGGAAGGCTACCCTCCTCAGCAAGGTGTCATACACACCAGCACACACTCTGTGCTTAGAAACCGGGCAGAGGGAAAGGAACCCGATTTGTATCAGTCTTACTGATTTTTCCTACCTGGCTCCAACCACTGAAGCGTTGGGGTGTGTCATTGATTCATTCTGCAAACCTCCCCTGGACTTCCTTGGTGAGCACTGGGCCTAGCCCCATGCTGAGTGATGCTGGGGCTCGGCTCAGGGTGACCTCAGCCCGGCCCAACTCCGGAGGAGTCAGACTGGGAGAGACAGAGCCAGACACGGAGGAACGCTCCCTGCCTCAGCAGTGAGGCCTGGGCTGGAGGCGGGGACAGGGACTGGGGGGGCCCAAGGGGGTGGTGAGGCTCTGCCCCAGGGAACAGGGTGGGCTTCCCAAGGGGAGGGGGGCACTGGTGCTGGGTGTGGAAGGTCAGTGGGAAGCGGGTGGGCAGTGGGCATGCGTAACCTAGAAGTCAACCGAACCAGCTTTGGAGTCAGTCTGACGAGGATTCAAACCCCCTATCTGTATGGCCCGGGGCAAGTCCCTTCCTAATGCTAGGACTCAGTTTACCCGTCTGACATGCAGCTTCAGTCAGACAGTACGTGTCGTGTGCCTGGCACTTTCTAAATGCTTCATAGCCCCCGACCCCAGTCCCGACCAATTGTTGTCCAAAACTTGCTGGAAAATGTCATGAAAAACCTAACCATTTTCACACCTGGATGAGCCCAAAGCTGCAGAACTTGCTCTCACTCTGTCATATTAAGGGAGCGCTGTGCTGGGCATAGAGTTGGCACCTAGTAAATGCTGCACCCCACAGATCCTTCCTGAAGGAAGTCAGGTGAATGCTGGATCACGCTGACCTGTCTTTAAGGAAACTGGATCATTTTCTCAGTCAAGGCAGAAGTTTCACAGCAGCTGCGGGGGCACTCAGAGACCACCACGACAGGGCTTCCATTTTGCAGATGAGAAGACTGAGGCCACAAAAGGGGACAGGGGTCATACAGCTGGGATTTGGAGCCAGGCATCTAGGCTTATTGCCTGAAGGTCGAGATCAGGCCCTGTGGAGCCTGACATAGGCCTGAGCGGCTGTCACCCTCCTCCTCTGCGCCCCACTCCCCTCCCCATTCCCTAGCTCAGCAGTAGGACACTCAGTGGCCTTGAAGATGGGACAGGAGACCTTTTAAGAATTTGCACGGGGGGCGGGGGGTGGCGCACAGTTGGTTAAGCGTCAGACTCTTGGTTTTGGCTCAGGTTGTATTCTCAGGATCCTGAGATCGAGCCCCATGTCGGGCTCTGCACTCAGCGTGGAATCTGCTTTGAATTCTTTCTCCTTCTCCCTCTGCCCCTCCCGCTTGTGCACGCTTTCTCTCTCAAATAAATAAATAGATCTTAAAAAAAAAAAAAGAATTTGCACAGGTGCACGCGCGCACACACACACACACAAAGCATCTGGCACATTTTACACATCATCTCAGGGGTGAGTGTGTAACCCAGATCAGACTCAGAGCTTGACCTAGAAGCCACATCAGCTTTAATAACATACCTTCTTCCGGAAGTTAAAGAAAAGAGGGAAGTCAGAAAGGGACGCAGGAAAGCAGGCCTGGCATAAGGGCCCGCTCAGAAGTGGGTTCAAATCCTGTGCTGCATGACCTGGAGAAAGTCACTCCACCTCTCTGGGCTTCCTGCTGGGAAGAGGAAGCAGGAGGATGAAGCAGGGCCCAGGGAGGGCTGCTTGCCCACCCTGGGAGCACGGACTGGACCACAGCGTCAAACTACCGGAGACAGAAGTCAGATCAAAGCATGAGCTGGACTGACCAGAGGACCAGAGTTCAGGACAGGGGAGGGAGGTGCAGCCTGGAGGTGACAGAGAAGGCTTCCTGAACTGACTCTTGACTGGTGTAGTGGAGGGCGATGGAGATGGACAGGTGAAGGGGTTTGTGGTTTGTATCCCACAGATCTGAGCTTTTCAAGCTGGGAGGGCCGAGAGAGGGGCAAGGCTCCCAGGATAAACAAAGGGAGCTGAAAACTTGGGAACATGGGGGACATTTTTATTAAAATGAACATAAGCCAGATGTGCAGTAATTTTAAAGATTTAACCTTAGCCTTCAAAGAAAGTGGTCTTTGAGGGGTATCTCTCTTCTAGACAAGCCCCCCCAAGTACAGGAATGGGGTGGGTCTTCAGAGTATTTTATTTTATTTTATTTTTTGAGAGAGAGAGAGAGCATGGGGTGAGGGTGGGGGCAAGGGACAGAGGTACAGGGAGAGAGAGAATCTTAAGCAGGCTCTATAGCCAGCACCAGCCGAACTAGGGGCTCAATCTCACCATCCTGAGTTCATGACCCTGAGATCATGACCTGAGCCAAAATCAAGAATCTGAGGCTTAACCTACTGAGCGCCCCCAGATGCCCCAACCTTTAAGAGTATTTTGTGGGAAAGTCGGAGAACCAATCTCTTGGGCAATGGGGAGCCATGGCAGTTTTAGGCAGGAGGAGGGCAAACATACATTTAGAAAGTTTTTCTAGCTGCCAGTGCAGGAGGCAGGACTAGAGAGGGACAGGACTAGAGAGGGACAGGCTGGGGTTTGGGGGGAGATCTGGGCCCAGAGTATGAGACTCTTATTTCTGCTTAACTCAGGATCACCAGCAGTCCGCACCCCTGAAACTGGGATGCAAAACTGAACGTGTGTTTCTGGGAAGAGTGTTGGGACTTGTTTCCCAAAAGCTGTAATCGATTCTGAAAGAGGATCCGGGACCCCTCAAAAGATAAGCACACACAGCTGGTCCCAAGAGATGGGAAGAAGGTGAAAATCATATTAACAGGTAGCATTTGAGTGGTGCACAGTACCGTTATCCCTGTTTTGCCGATGAGGCAACTGAGGCCCAGAGAGACAGAGGACTCTTGTGAATGTGGGAGACGCCCCTGCGCCACGGGTACGTGGCCCCCAGGCTGACACGTCCCCCCATCTGTCCCCAGGTGGAAGAGGAGCTGACGCACCTCCAGAAGAAGCTGAAGGGGACGGAGGATGAGCTGGACAAATACTCCGAGAACCTGAAAGACGCCCAGGAGAAGCTGGAGCTGACGGAGAAGAAAGCCTCCGACGTACGTGCGCAGTAATGGGGGCGCCCGCGGCTGGGCCAGGCGGGAGCCCCGGGGCCGGGTGGGCGGGCAGCGCCGGAGGAAGAGGAGGAGGAGGAGGAAGAGGAGAAGGCGGTGCCTCCCGGCGCTTTCTCCAAATAAGTCCCGAAAAGGGGCACTTTCCAGCAGCTGTGGCCAGCGGTGCCGACGTCAGGCCCTCCCCCAGCGGTGCTGACGTCGGCGGCCGGGCCCGGTGACCTCATCGCCCCGACGGCGGCCGGGCCGGGGGCGGGGAGAGGCGGGGGCGGCCCCGGCGCAGGCAAAGGCTCGGGGGCCGGGGCGCGGCTGGTGCAGCTTTCGCCGGAGCCGAGCCGAGCCGAGCGCCCGCCGCTGCCAGCCGCCCGCTGCGTGCGCCTCCGCGCCTCCGCGCCATGGCCGGCCTCAACTCCCTGGAGGCGGTGAAACGCAAGATCCAGGCCCTGCAGCAGCAGGCGGACGAGGCGGAGGACCGAGCGCAGGGCCTGCAGCGGGAGCTGGACGGCGAGCGCGAGCGGCGCGAGAAAGTGAGAGCCCGCGCCCCGGCATCCCCCGACCCAGGGCGCGCTCCTTTCTCCCCTTCTCCCCGCGCCGCCCGCTTCCCGCGCTCCCCGCCCGCCCTCGGCTGCCGCTCCCCGCTTCTCCGCTCCCCACCCCCCCGCCCCCTGTTAGCCCGCCTTCGCGCCCTCTGGCCTGGCGGCTCCCGGATCGCGGACCCGCGGCCCCCTCCCCCGGGCGGGCTGCTGAGACCCCCCTTTCTCCGCGGTCATCCTCCTTCCCCAG